TTTATATATTTTTCATAAATCTTTTATGCATTTTTTATACGATAATTTTTAATCAAAAATTTCCTATTTTTACATCCAGTACAAACATCGATATAAAAACAGTACAAAAATAAACCCTGTTCGGAAAATCGACTGCGTTCCAAACATTTTTTGGACAATGCCTACAATAACTGAACAAACTTTTTTTATAGGGTTGATAGGTATGATTTTTAAATATACATATGAGTATAAAGATCTAAAGTTGTACTATGCTACTACTTTTATTTTTTATACTATACTACTTTAGATAGGACTCACTGACAGTAGAGGCGTGATCCGTAAACTATTAGTTACTATAAATAAACTGTAGTTACTATAAATAAACTGTAGTTACTATAAATAAACTGTAGTTTATTTTAAAACTACAGTTAACTACAGTTTTACAATAAACTACAGTGTATTTATATTAACTACTAGTTTACAGATCGCACCTCTATAATTCACAGTTCGCATCTCTATTATGGTGTCCTACAGCTCTAATAAATACAGCTTTTTTTTATTTCGTTATGATAAGTGTTTGTTTTTTTATTAGAGACTGAACTGTTGTGGTGATCATCAAAATTCTATTGATTGGCTTTTGATCACAAAATTTTAATTGGCGCATGATAATCTATGATGTATAAAAAACTTTGAATGCAAAACCTGTATATTTAATTCTCTAATGTAATTTTCTTTGTCTTTAAAATATATTGACATATTAATAGTCAAATTCATACAAACTGTTTTACAAATTTGGTATGCAATATTACTAAATTTTATCTAATAAATTTATTGGATAAAATATACTCCAATTTATATACAGTAATTGAAGACATAATTTTCTAAATTATTGGACAAAAAATTATTAGAACTAATTGAAAAAATTGAACAATACTAACTCTGTTTAGAGTAGAGGTGCGATCTGTAAACTAGTAGTTAATATAAATAAACTGTAGTTTATTGTAAAACTGTAGTTAACTATAGTTTTAAAATAAACTACAGTTTATTTATACGTATTGATAATTCACAGTTCGCATCTCTAGTTTAGAGAAAGATACTTTTGAAGTTATTTGGAAATAGTTCGAATACATTTAAATAAGCTTGATAAGCTGTCAGATTTTTTATGTTTGAAATCTATTTTCTGTAATGCATAAAATTATTATGTATATAACAATTAAATATTACTTATTTTAAGAAAGATTATTTAAATAAATTATTTTTTCGAATTGTATAATTGCTAAATTAAATTTATTGAAAGCGATTCAATATACTTTTCCAATTAAGAAGTTGAATCAAATGCTTAATTCAAAGTTCTTGTATCATCATCACGAGTTCATAATGGACAAGTTTATGAACTTCATAAGAAACCTTTTCATAAAAGCTAAGAGACAGTATTTTAATGAATTAAAAAACACTAAGCCCCGCAAGAAATTTTTAATTAGTTGTTGGGCTGTCACAAATATATTCACCTAAAATTGTAAATTTAAAACACTTTACTTTGATTCAATCCTAAATCACAATGCATAATAATAGTCCAGACGAAACTGTTAATATTCTATTAGATTATCTTTTACAATTACAATTTCTCGCAATAAAATCTAATGAAAAGATTATAATGATCTTTCGGTAAAAAATGATGTTATTAGTGAACTCTCTAAAATATCTAAAGCTTCTGAAGAGACATCTAAATTCAACAAAATTCCAGAAAATCCTAAAAATAGAAAATTTCAAAAACCTCCCACCCCCCAAATGCTTTTATTCTTTATTGACGATCTAAACATCAGGAAATAGTTGCTGCTAATAAGGGTATTACTACTAATGAAGTTTCTAAAAAAGTTGTGAGATGTGGCATAATGAACCTTTGGAAGTAAAAATAAAGTTCCACCTTTTTGCTGATGCTGCAAAATTAGAACATATACAAAAATATCTTGAATACAAATATCAACCTCGTCATCCACATGAAAAGAGAAGGAGGAGGACTAGTTCATCAAAGAATAGTATTTCAAATCAAAAACAAGTAAAAGCAGAAATGAACGGGGTTGAATCTTGTTCCAAGTTATTGAATAATGATTTAAATTTGTCAAACGAGCATTTGGTAAATTTTCAGGAAACTATACTTCCTTCTGAATATGAAAATTTACTTTGGAATTCAACTCACCCAAACTTATCAGGAAATTTAAATAACATAAATCATGAAAGCAATAATTATTATTATCATTTTTGTATTTCCCCCATTACTTTTTCGCAATCTTATCATGACAGTTTTTATCCTTATCCCATCCCTATATATACTTCTATGTAACTTTTATGTTTTTTGAATATGGTGTTGAGAGTAGAGATGCGATCTGTAAACTAGTAATTAATATAAATAAACTGTAAAACTGTAGTTAGAGATGCGAACTGTGAATTACAATACTATAAATAAACTGTAGTTTATTTTAAAACTACAGTTAACTACAGTTTTACAATAAACTACAGTTTTACAATAAACTACAGTTTATTTATATTAACTACTAGTTTACAGATCGCACCTCTAACTGTAGTTAACTATAGTTTTAAAATAAACTACAGTTTATTTATACGTATTGTAATTCACAGTTCGCATCTCTAGTCTAGAGAAAGAATAATTATTTTCTGGTGAATATGTTTTGGTGCTATAAGATTCAAATAAATATGCATCAACAAACACAACTCATATAATTTAAGAAATTGTGGTAAATATTTACAGCTAGTCAAATATTTAATTAGCATAATTTCAAATTCTGATATTTATATAGTGAATATTTATATATAACTTTACTTATTGAAATAAAAATTTGATAGGCTTGAATGAACTTATAGTTTATTTTAAAACTACACAGTTTTACAATAAACTACAGTTTATTTATATTAACTAATAGTTTACAGATCACATCTCTAACTGTAGGCTTGTTAGAAATAGAGATGCGAACTGTAAATTACAATACGTATAAATAAACTGTAGTTTATTTTAAAACTACAGTTAACTACAGTTTTACAATAAACTACAGCTTATTTATATTAACTACTAGTTTACGGATTGCACCTCTAGTATAAATAAATTGTAGTTTATTTTAAAACTACAGTTAACTACAGTTTTATAATAAACTACAGTTTATTTATATTAACTACTAGTTTACAGATCGCGGCTCTATTTAGAGAAATACAGTAAACCTTTTAATTTAGCATTAGATTTCAGAAGATAGTGTACTTATTTGGAGATTAATTGTTGTCAAGTTTACCCTATCATGTCAACAAAAAACGAATATCTGTATTCAGATCACATCTTTAGATGACAAAAAAAGATTAGCATTATACTAAATTATTTTCTATAAGCATAACACTAATTAAATTTTTTTTTTTTTAGAAATATTTGGAGCAAATCAATGTAACATGTTAAATTAAAAAAATTTAATAAATAAATTTTCTTTAATATCTTAAAATGTTTTAGTTCGAACAGGAGAATATTTAAAAGTAAGCTATATAGAATATTTTATAAATTTTAAAAATGATTATTGCCAGTGAAAAAAAGGTTACAAAGTTTACACATGATATTATTGATAAATTAAAAAAAGTAATGCCATTCAAATATAATTAGTAAGTGCTTCTCATTTGAGTTATTTGTTGAGTCTTTGTATATCTGAAGTTATGCTGCCATACCTGTTTTAAATATCTAGAATTGAAAGCACTTCATGGCCAACTGTTTTGGCAATTGAACGTTCTTCTTGTTTCAGATATTCTGAAAATAACTCATGCTCTGCCAGAATTCTTGGTGAATAGGATACATAAACATTCTCTTATATTTTTGATGATAATAATACAATATAATACTCACATTATTTTATTATTTTAGTAGAAAAGATGGAGAAGCTGATATTTACATTGAAATTAGTGGTACACTATTTGCAATTCTGTATAAAGATTGGGTTAAAGCTGAAATAGGTAGGATAGAGAAATAGAGTAGCTGATGTTGAAATTTTTTGAAACTAACTACTGATTATCTTTATAACTCGAATAGTGATGTGATCTGAAATCCATTAAATATCTATTTTCATATTACCGTTGGCCACTACCTACAGTATCTCCCAAAAATAATACCTCATGATTATGACCCAGGTATTATTCACCACCCTTACTGGCTTGTTACTTGAATAAGACCCAGAGGTACAATAATATTGATTTACTACTTTTAATATGATATGTTCTCAAATATAGTATTTTCACACAGTACTCACAGGTACTATTCAATTTTAAAAATGGAGTTCTTGAATAATACCCGGGTATTGTAGTGGCTAACAGTAAATCCAATAGATATTCACTAAATTTAATATAAAAATCGAATCTAATGGATTTCAGGTCATGTCACTAAACCTCAAACTTTAAAATTTCAGTCTATCCTCATTTATATCAACCTATTTGGATTGGTTGATATATAAAATTTTAATTTGTGGCTTAGGTTGATATTAACGAGGTTGATATTAACGAGGGTTGACTGTATATATATAAATATTGACAAGTGATTCTACATATATTATGAAATAAATAATTTTTATTTTAGCAATACCTTTAGTAAACCAGATCTAATAGTTGCCAATTGTTATATCATAAAAAGAAAAATTTAAAGTGCACACTTTGTATAAAGATTCTGTAGCTTGCACTCGGGTCTATCTATTATTTCAGGAGATAAACTTTTACGGTTCAAGAAATTTCAACATAAGCCGATTCAGTTATACATTTGAATATATTTAATAAATGTATTATTATAAACTTAATAATTATAGGTCCTAATGTCATTCAAACATTAGATAGGATTCTCACCCAGCTAAAAAGTGGAACAATAGGCATTGTAGTAGCTCCAGATAACGGAAAATTTTTTTAAACTGCATAAATAGATCTAAAAGCTCAAAATATCATATTATTCTTACAAATAAAAGGGATATTTGCAGGGTGCTTGAATCTGTTGGTCAGAATATTCTTCTTGTTTCTTGTATTAAATATTTTGTTGTTGTTTTTTTATGTACTATGATAGTTACTTTGTTTGCTTGTATGCATTTAAAATATTCTAAAGATATTTATTACTTTTATTGAATTCTTAATTTTTTATAGAAAAAAAAAATAGGTATAACATCAAGAGAATAGATCTTGGGATTCCGCAACCTTTTAATTTCATTTCTCACAATAAAAATAAAATTAAAAATATGATTTCAATTTACTAATTGCTATTTTTAATACCTCAAAAATCAGACAATCTATCTTAATTACCAGAATATAGAATTAGAATTCTGCAAGTGCCAGGCATGGTGCCATATGGCACCATGCTGGCACTTGCAGAACCCTATCTACATTGTATTGTATAAGAGAGTGTCAACTTTAACGAATTTATTAAGACAACTTATTTACTATGTCATTTATGTGAGTTCTTTGTATGTATCTCAGGCTGTAAAACAGTATTTGAATATTACATATACAATAACTAATAGATCCAATAATAGATGTTCTTAAACTTGGTATGTGGTTTTATGCAAAAATATTTTTGTTGGTTTTTTCATGATTTTATTTTTTTACAAAGAGAAAGCATGGATATATACTTTTTTTTATGTATTTGAATGTTATATTTTTGGATGGGAATTTCTTGGTGTTATTTTTTGTAGGAATGATCAGGATTTTTGAATTTGATTATTCCTTTTTGCACGTATACTATTTATGCAAAAAATGATGATTTTAAAACCGAGAAAAGGAAAAAAATTCTAGAATTGTATTTTTGGAGATTTTATTTTTATCTGGAATTTCATTAATTTTATTTCACATAACATATATGTAAGAATTATATTCACTCTCTGTTAAATATAATTCTAGAGAATTTTTTCTTAAAATTATAAAATTTTCAGTAAGGAGTTAATGTTGAAATAATTAAATTTTGAGTTATATACGTGCGTTATTTAGAGTATATACATGGGCGTCAACCTGTTATTTTGTTTTAAATTAATTATAAAATTTATAAAATCTATAAATTAAAATAAATTGAAGTTTCTTTATTCTGTTCCAGGGTCTTTTATAAATTTGGGCATTTATAAAGGTGCCTATAAAATTAACTTCAGTATCTTCATTGCTACATGAAATTGAATTCGCTTAAATAAAATTTATAAATTTAATTTAATAGTAAGATAAAAGCTGACTATTAGTATTAAAATTAAATCCATATTTGTTATAAAATAAATTAACATTATGTAGTATTTTAATTTCATTTTGAACTCTTTGTATTTCTTGTTTAGAATTTTTAATATATTCAAGTGCATACTTCAAAATATCTATTTCGGTATTCTTCTTTTAATATTCATTAGGATAGGCAAATTATTTGCAATTTCCTTAAGTATTTCACTTTCATTTTCCTGTCGACTGCGTTCATAATGAACTTTTTTAATTTTTTTGCTTGAATTAGAAATTCCTTTTGGCTGAAGTTCTTTGATTTGTTGATTAACTAAAGGAAATTTAACATCAAGACTTGTGGCTATATAATTTTTATTTTTGAAATAATGAATAAATATAATTCTTTAGTAGATAACAGAAAGCATAAAATAAATAAAAATTTTTCTATTCACAATACTTACAGAACATATTTGAAAGTGAATATAACTTACTGTACAAGAGTTCAACTTATTTTATAAGAATTTCCAACACTAATCAAAATAAAACAGATGAGTAAAAGAGTTCTTACCTAATAAAGCTGACTATAGTTATTGATTAAATAAGAAAGTTATTTATCGAAGATTTTGATTAATAACTATTCGTAAAGTTTCAGATTAATTTCCAAACTTTTTCTGATTATGATAAAGAGTCTAAATTTAGTATAGATATTATCTTTTCAAGGATAACAATTAAATCTTCTATTAGTAACACTTAATGTAGATCATGTTAAAAACATTGGCCGTTTATATGTGTATTACAATTTACATTTTTTTCAAAATCATTACGTTTATTTTATTTTTATTTATATCCCACAGCCCTAATGTTCTCATGTGAACTTTATGATTATGTAATGCTGTGAAAATATCACAAAAATTTTAATCACAGGCACAGGGTTAGAGATGTGATCCGTAAACTAGTAGTTAATATAAATAAATTGTAGTTTATTGTAAAACTGTAGTTAACTGTAGTTTTAAAATAAACTACAGTTTATTTATACATATTGTAATTCACAGTTCGCATCTCTACACAGGGTGCTATTTGATGCAATTTTTGGTTAAAATATAAGTTATAATAATAGAATAAAATTTTTATTGGTTC